AAATACTGAGCACCCCGGAGCAGCTCCTCCACATTCTGCTCTGAGATCACCACTTTGCCGCTGTAGAAGTAGTCCAGGAGCTGGTCCACCGTGGCTGGGCTCAGGTAGTTGGGGTCAATGGTGATGTAGAGTTCGTCAGTGGTCTTCATGTCGTTGCTGGAGATGAGACTTTTCACTAGCGGAGAGACGGCAGCCAGCACGTTGCGGTGTGCGAAGAAGACTTGGTGGTCCACAGTCAGGGCCATGTCCCAGTACTCTTTGCGCTTCCTCTGTTTGTTCAGGTTTTGCAGCACAAAGCTGTTGTAGTTTTTCTCTGTGAATTCCAGTTTCATGGTGCTTCTTGTTGGCTGAGACAGAAGATCGATCGGTAGGTAGCAGGTACTGGAGGGCAGACTTTTTCAGGCCTTTGGGATTTGTACTGATGGTTGTTTGCAGAGCAGCCGACCAGAGAGGAGTGGGCGTGGGAGAGTGACGTCATAGAATGGATGAGGTCATCATAATGCAGCCCTCTCCCCACCCCCAGGCCTTTGTCAGAGGCATGGGGCCTTTCTCTCCCCAGAGCTTCAGAGGAAGCTCAGGAATGGGGCCATGGTGTCCCCCTGGGGCTTTCAATCCGTGGTTCAAAGTTTCGCCAGGAATGTCAGAACTGGTTTGGGTGGGGCAGAGGGCACTGTGGAGAGTGAAAATACTGGAGTGGGAGGAGAGGTTACCATTATCTAGAAGCCTCCCTTTTAACCAGGAGGCTGAAGTCCTGCTGAGAAAGGACTCCCCCGTCACAGAGGCAGTTAGAGGCAAGCAGACCTGGAACTCCCGCTGTGTGCCGGGCATTACCCCTTTCAACCCTCCAGGAAGCAGGAACCATCCAGGTTTCATGGTTCAATTCTTAGGTCCTAAAGGCCCCTTTTCTACTAAGGTTCCTGGACGTCTGAGAAGACAAATCCTTTGGCATCTGACCTCTGTAGTCAGAATACCGTTTTCATTAAGAATGAAGAAGTGGGTGACACTCACTGGAGCAGAAATGGAGGGACTAGCCAGCCCTAGGAAGATAGGAGGACTTGGAAACGCCCTGCTCCAGATTTCTAAGTATCTAGTAAAATGCTGGAGAATGTGCCTGTTCTGGTCTCCATTCCGAGTTACCAGTTCACTTAGGCCTCAGATTTCTCTTCTGTGAGATGAGAATAATACTCGCTTCAAAGCGCAGAAGGCGCAGTGCTTAGCCTGTAGCAAAACGTTCAAATAAATGCCTACTCTTGTTTCTTAATATTTCCGCAGCTGTGGGCATCCACGAAGCTCTCGACGGGTTATAGGAGCCTGCTTCGGCCGCACGGTGGCGCTGCAGGGTCACCTCCCGGCCAGGAGCACGCGGCCGGAGCGCTCAGCCTCTCCAATGGCTTAGAGAGTCCCCTTTCTGCCTGCTTTGCCTCGCCTAGGGCTCCTTCATGTAGGAGCGACTCAGAAACGCACATGTATGGACCCGGGGCTCACAGTGTGGCAGACCCGCACCTGTTCTCATTTTACAGATGTGGACAGAGTCCGGTGATGGTGTATGACGATAGCGAATAGCCATCCTGGGAACTCTTAGGAAAAACCGTGCTATATAGACCCTTGTGCTGGTCAGGAGGACCAAACTCAGACCCTGATCTCCACTCTGGGCTCCAAGCCTCACTCCAGACCTTCTGATCCTCCTGAATGCCCCTCTCAGAGAGACTGTTGCTCCATTCCCACCACTCTCGATCCCTCTGGCTTTGATTCTCCATTCATCTTTCCATTCCACACCTAGCCTTTTCCTTATCTAGGAACTTGGTAATTTGAAGTTTGTTTTCATTACAGGTTTCTTTTTGTAGCCTTGGCTGTCCTGGAACCACTCTGTAGACTAGGCTGGCTTTGAACTCAGAGATCTGCCTATCTCTGCCTCCCGGGTGCTAGGATTAATTGAAGTTTATTTTTTAAACAATTACACTTTAATAGTGAAGTTACACATCTTGATACCTGATTTCGGGACAGATAGTCTCTTCGGATGTGATGTCTGTGACTTCTGTCTCCCCATTTGGAGTACATAGGTTCCAGCCCCACTCAGAGAACTCCCTATGTGGCTTAGTTCCCCACTGCCCGGTCTCTCCCCTCTGTCTCTCTCTCTGTCTCTCTTTCTGTCACTCTCTCTGTCTCTCTCTCTGTCTCTCTCTCTGTCTCTCTCTCTGTCTCTCTCTCT